GGGGGGGGCGCCCCGCAAAGTCCCCCCCACCCCCGAGGAGGCGGGTTCCCAGGACCCAGTCGTCGCCCCCTGAGGCTTCGGACAAACTTTGCCTCCTGCCATGTCACCCACAGCACGGGGTCGCAGCTGTCATTTGGAAATGCCACCCGGGTGTGGGGGGGCAGGGAAAAAAACCCGGGGACTTCACCCCGAGTCGCGTTGGTGCCACCAGGGGCTGCAAAGAGACCGCGGCGGATGGGGACAAGTTGGTGACGGGGGGGCTGGTGCCAGGGAGTCCGAGGGGGGGCGCGCGCGCGCGTGCACACGCGCACGATCGTGCACACGCGCCCAGGAGCGCGCGGGAGGCCACGCCGAGCGCGCCAGGGACCCCCCGCCCCGGGACTGGCGTCGCCCCGACCCCCTGGTGGCGGCGCTCGCGGGTGGGGCGGGGACAGGGAGGCAGGTTACCGGGGCCACGAGCGGCGCTGTCACCTCCCGAGCGCCGCGGGTCTCAGCGGGCGGCGGGACCAGGGCCGGGCGAGCTGCGCGCGCGGCCACCTCCGCGGCGACAGGGCGACAGGGCGCGGCGTCTGCGCCGCCACTTTATCCCCGGGGCCGCTCGGCGACGGGGGCGGCCGCGGTGGGTGGGGACGCGGGGAGGCGGCGCCCGGGCCCACGTGTGTGTGCCCGGCCCCGCGGGGAGGAGCGGGGGCGCCGCCCGCCCGGGACCCGCCGTGCGCTCCTCCCCGCCCCGGGCTCGCAGGCGGCCGCGCCCGGGGACAAGTCCGGGCCACTCCTACCCACACCCACCCCGCCCCTGCGCGGGAGGGCGCCGATCTGTCCCTGCAGACCGCAGGCGACACCGGGCGCGGCACGCGCAGGGTGCACACAGGCCCCAGGTGCGCGCACACGGCACACACGCACGCACGGCGCCCGTGCCCACGGGGACTCACTCCGCACAGGGGCACCGTGTGCACACGCGCGCACACACCCAAACGTGCAATCCAGCAGACTCGCGTGCACACACAGGCACGCTGAGATGACCCATGACCTATGCAGGGACACACCAATGCGCCTGGACACTCACAGAAAGTCACAGCACCGGGCCGTGGCGCACGCCTGGCATCCCAGCGGCTGGGGAGGCTGAGGCAGGAGGATCGCAAGGTGGAGGCCAGCCTCAGCCACTTAGCAAGGCCCTAAGCAACTCAGCGAGACCCTGTCTCTGAATAAAATAGAAAAGGGGCTGGGGACAGGGCTCAGGGGTTGAGCACCCCTGGATTTGATCCCTGGGACCAATTTTTTTTTTTTAATTTGTTGAAGAGGAAGTGAGTTTTAATAAAGAATGAGTTAAGAAGGAGCAACAGGAGGAAATGGGTGAAAATTTGGTGGTTAGAAACTTTCACTAAGGGCCAGGCATGGTGGAGGATGCCTGTCACCGCAGCAGAGGGAGGCTGAGGCAGGAGGATCATGAGTTCAAAGATGGCCTCACCAAGTTAGCAAGGCCCTGAGCAACTCAGGGAGACCCTGTCTCTAAATAAAATACAGAATAGGCCTGGGGACGGGGCTCAGGGGTCGAGGGCCCCTGGGTTCAATCCCTGTTACCAAAAGCACATCACACACGCATACACACGTTCCTGTCACACACACACAGAGACACACGTGCTGTAAAGCTGTGGGGTCCCCGCAAGTCCCCAGGGCACAAGGCAGAGGCAGGTTGAAGCATGTCTACAGACATCTGGTCCTGGTCTCTCAATAAAATAGGGCTGGGGACAGGGCTCAGTGGTTGGGGGTCCCTGAGTTCAATCCTTGGTACCAAAAAATAAATAAATAAATAAAGGGAGACTGAGGCAGGGGAATTACCTCAGCCCAAGACCCTCATCTCTGAGAGAGACAGAGAGAGAGAGAGAGAGAGGAGGGAGATTTTTTTTTTTCCGAGACTGTGTCTCACTAGGTTGCTTACAGCCTTGCTCAATTGCTGAGGCTGGCCTCCAACTTAAGATCCTCCTGCCTCATTCTCCTGAGCTGCTGGGGTGACAGACGTGTGCCACCACCGGCCCCTGGCTGAACTTTTATTTTGAGATGATGGTAGATGCACACGGCAGTTCTAAGAAATAATACCGAAAGACGTCATATATCCTTTAGCCAGTTTCCCACAATGGTCACTTCTTACAAAACTACAGTACAGGGCTGGGGATGTGGCTCAAGCGGTAGAGCACTTGCCTGGTGTGTGCAGGGCGCTGGGTTCCATCCTCAGCACCACATAAAAATAAAATAAAGATATTGTGTTCACCTAAAACTAAAAAATAAATATTAAAAAAAAAAACTACAGTACAATCTCACGACCAGGTTATTGACGTTGATACAGTCAAGAAACAGAATCTATTTCCATCATTGCAAAAATCACGCAGGGTACCCTTTCAGGGTCACATCTATTTCCCGGGCATCCCAACGTCCCCTATAAACACTGGAAAACACGAATTTGTTCTCCAATTTCCAAAAATCCTGTCTAGAATGTTTTGTGTGTGGAATCATATAGTATATATGTATATAATCCTTTAATAGACCAGGACTGCAATTGATGGATGGGGTAGAAATGGCATGTTTTGTGTTTTAAAAGATATAGCCGGGTGCCGTGTTGCACGCCTGTCATCCCGGCAGCCTGGGAGGCTGAGGCAGGAGGATCCCAAGTTCGAGGCCAGCCTCAGCAACTTAGAGAGACTCTAAACAACGGATGGAGACCCTGCCGCAAAAACCAACAAAACCAAACAAACAAAAAAACCATACAAACAAATGGGTTTTGGAAGTTTTTGCCATTAAAAAAAACAAAAAGAATGTAGTAGAGGTTCCAAGAACTAGATATGTTTAACCCAATTCAAACGTGTACTGAAACACCCCACGGGACCTCATTCATGTGCAAAACTGACACCTTATTATTTATCAAACCTCATTAATATGTAAAACTGTCACCTTATTATGTGTCAGTTAAAATAAGTTTAAATGAAGATTTAAATCTCTTCTGCTGATGTCTGATTTTTTTAGACCATTTACGTTTAATGTAATCATGGTTATGGTAGGGCTTAAGTCTACCATTGTATTTTATTTAATTAATTTATTTTTTGGTCATTTTGTCTTGTTTTCTGTTCTCTCTTTATTTTTCTAGTCTTGTGGGCTACTGGGGCAGGATGGTTGTTTAGCTGTGCTGTGTTGGAGTGTGTCTCTCTGTAGAGATTGCTTAGCCACGTCCCCTTGTATTGCACTTGATATAATCCCAGCTTGCTGATGACCTTTTCCCAGTCCTAGTGAAACAGAAACCTGACATCCCTTCATGTGTCCTTACTGTCATAACCATGTCCGGCACATACACTGAGAACCTCATCAGATAATGTCATCGTTTTTGTTTCAAACATCATTTAGAAAAGAGGAGGGAGGGGGACGCTTATTTTATCGGCCCTGTTTTTGCTCACTGTCTTCTTTCTTCCTGCATAGTATTCCACGATTCCTTTTTCTACCCTTTGAGTTCTATTTAGAAAAATCATCTTAGCCATTCTTTGAGAACCGTCTCCCTTCCCCTGAGAACGTATCGATTCTTCTTCATTCTTGAAGGATATATCCACTAGATACAGGATTCTAGGTTAACAGTAAGTTGTTTTTTTTTTTTTTAAGTTGAAAAATGCAGGTGAGGTGGTGCACGCCTGTCATCCGAGCCGCTCAGGAGGCTGAGGCAGGAGGATCGCCAGTTGGAGGCCAGCCTCAGCCACTTAGTGAGTCCCCCTAGGCAACTTAGCGAGACCCTGTCTCTAAAATAAAATATAAAAAGGGGCTGGGGATGGGGCTCCATGGTTAAGTGCCCCTGGATTCAATCCCTGCTACTAAAATAAATTAAAAAAAAAACTTTGAAAAATATTGTGCCCCTTATTCTGGCCTTGACGGTATCCAACCCACGGCCATTTGAACATATTTTCTTTTATGGGTGACATGTTCTTTCTCTCTTGTGGCTTATAAGATGTTTTCTTTACCTTTCATGTTCAGAACTTTTCCTATGATGGGTCTTGGTATGGATTTCTTTGCTTCTATTCTTTTTTTAGGATTTTTTTTTTCTGGTTCTTCAATCTGAACAATTCAAGGCTTCCATCTCCTGCCAAATTTGGGGACATTTCTAGTTTTATTTAAGTACGTCTCAGCCCCACACTTTTTTCTCTTCTGCTTTTGGGACAATGAGGACATGAAGGTGACAGCTTGTCTTACAAGACCCCAAGGCTTAGATTTCTTCCCATTTTTTTTCTTCATCTATTTTCTCTGTCATTCAGATTGCACATTATTTTTTTTTAATTTTTGTTTTTGGTTTCATGTTCCAGTTCACTGATTCTCTCCTCTGTCCCCCCCTCCCCCACATTCTACCTCTGAGTCCATCCATTGTTTGTTCCATTTCAATGATTGTATTTTCCAGCTCAAGGATGGCCATTTGGTTCTTGGGTCTTGGATTCCTCTGCTGAGACTTTCTGTTTTTGATGGGGTTTTCAGCCTGCTCCTAATTGTTCCTTGAAACATTTTTTTTTTAATCATGCCTGCTTCAAAATCTGAGTTCTTCTCAAAAAACTTAACACACACACACACACACACACACAAAATAACCCAATCAATCAATCAAAAAAATAACCCAATCAATAAGTGGGCAAAGAACTGAACAGACGCTTCACAGAGGAGAGATGATCCATCAACAAATACGTGAGAAGATGATCATCATCTCTAGCAATTAGAGAAATGCAAATCAAAACTAC